GGAGAAGAGAAGAGAAGAGAAGAGAAGAGAAGAGAAGAGAAGAGAAGAGAAGAGAATAATAAGGAAGGGAAGGAAATAATAGGGAAGGGAAGAGAAGGAGAGGAGAGGAGAGGAGAGGAGAGGAGAAGAGAAGAGAAGAGAAGAGGAGTAGGAGTAGGAGTAGGAGTAGAGTAGGAGTAGGAATAGGAATAGGAATAGAATTATTTATTGGCCAAGTATGATTGGACACACAAGGAATTTGTCTTGGGGTAAATACTCTTGGCTAAATTCATTTAGCAATAGAAATGTTGGGCTCCGTTGCAAAGACAACCGATAAAACACCGTGAAGTTGACGAATAAACCACTCTGGGTGGGCTCGTAAGCATCGCATCAAGCAATTCATCCTGGTCTGCGAACATTAAAAAAAAAGAGGCATGACTTTACTCTTAACAGTTGTGGCTGCCATCTTGACTTTTAGACCTCTTTTACCAGCATCCCTGCCTCCATACAACTTTCTTGGGGCTATACATAGCCCTCTTAGATAGTCCACTTAACAACAGTTTATTTAGTGACTGTTTGAAGTTAGAATGGCACGGTGGGAAAAAAAAAGGGGGGGATTTATGGCCATTTCTCGCTTACGGCCGTTGCAAAGGGCTGGTAAGTCGAGGACTACCCTTTTTCAGATGAAGAGAGTTGGAAGGGACCCTTTGGAGGTCATCTAGTCCAACCCCCACCCCTAAGCAGGAGACCCTACATCATTGCTGACAGAGGGCAGTCCAGTCTCTCCTTGAAAGCCTCCGGGCAGGCAGATTAAGTTGCTCACAGAATCACAGATTCACTCAGAGATCTACCATTCTGCCATCTGCTGCCTGAGTCTGCACTGAAAAACAGAAGCTTCCGTCCTAAGGAAGGTTCAGCTCTGCTTTTAGATTCGCTAGAAAGCAAGAAATCCAACCATTTCCTGCTTTCTAAGCAAATCTAAATCTCCCGGCACAGCAGAACAGCTGATGGTCAAGGGGAACAAAAAAGGAAAAACGGCAACTTAGCAGGCAAGTTTGATGTAAGGAGTGAGTGGGCAGGGACGGGAGGGGTGAGGCCAGCCAGTAGCACGATTTGCCGGTTCTCCGAACTGGGCAGAATCATAACAACCGGTTCTATAGAACCGGTCCGACCAGGGAAAATCCCACCCCTGCTCACATTCCACGCAGGGGGGGGGGACACCCCCACTCTCCAAGGCCAGGTTTCCATGCCCAAGAGATGCCTTCTTGGTTTTATTAGGCCACTGTCCACTTTGGGGAAGTCAAAAAAAAGTTGTGAGTCAGAAAACGCCACCAAAACGGGACCGTCGCCAGAGATAACAAGGCCCCATCAGCCCAAGACGAAGCTTCTGCAAGGAGCTTATTTTGAAAGTTTGGGTCAAGGAAGTGAGTGAACTTGAGATATTTCTCTCTGCACTGCTGTCAAAATCCAGTAAGCCAGGACTGTGTTTTGTTCTTAGCTGCGAAGTTATGTCCGACCCGTCGCCACCCCAAGGACATTTGCTTTTTTAAACCAGGACATTTCTTTAAAAAAATAAAAATAAAG